AAGGGCTCCCACCACAGCCTCTACCTCCGATCCCCCACCTGTTTCTCTCCACTCACCTCGTCTGCATCCCTGGCTTCCTTCTCCCCTGTAGAGGTGTCTGAGGCACCAGAAAGGCACCTCTGCCCCCCCTCACATCAGCACCCAGCCTAGCATTCTGCTTGAGCTAGGGGTGGGCGTGGGGTTCTTGATGGAAGCATTTGAGGTGGTCCAGTGGGAGGTGCCAGGGCCCCCATGGGAAGAGGAAGGGGCATGGGGAGGGACCGCCCTGGGGCACACACCGCTCTCCACGGCCTGATCCCTTGTGAGGTTGGCAATGATAGAGCCCCTTCCTTTTCTCTCTTCCCTCCCCTTCAGGACCAGACAGTACAGCCCAGACTGGCTGCCACAGGCTCCTGTGGCCTCTAACAGCTCTCACTGACCTTTCGGGCCTGGACGGACCAGAGTGGCTGAATGTTTGAGATCTCCTGGAGGAAAACAGAGATGAAGAAGCATCTGCAACAGGGCTGGTTATTCATACACGTGATAATCCTTGAAACTCCTACCCATTTATTCCTGAGATTGTTTGATTCTGAGAACAAGATACAGACAAGGTCTGATAGAATCTGGAGTAAAGGTTGGGAGGGCCTTCAGAGATTATCTAGGTGAATACGGGGAAGCGGGGGCCCAGAGGCAATGATCAGAGAGAGAGACAGAGAGAGAAAAGACATCCAAATGAACTACAGCAATTTCTCTCTCAACATCCCAGAAATGGTTTAATCCAGTCTTGACCTGAAGGGAATCCTGGTGGAGAACTAACCAGGGTTTAGACAGCTTAAACTATTTGAGAGTCCTTATTCTGAGCAGAAATCTGTCTCCATGCCCTTGTGTGGTCTTCTGGATTCACACAGATCAAATCTGCTCTGGATTTTGATTTCAAAATCAAGACCAAGAAAACCTTAGCACCTGGGATTGACGGGTGAATTTCAACAGGAAAATAAACAGCAGCAATGAATGAAGGGGCTTAATCAATTACTTGCAGAAGGAGAGGAAGGGGCTGTCCACAGCAGCTCGTGTGGACAAGACCCGGGAATTTGAGCAGACTCAAGGTCAGTGTGACCCGACAGCGTGTGGAGGTGGAAACAGGGAGAGGGGGGCTCCAACTGTGGTCCTGGGAGCATTGGGTTCACTTAGATGGAGGGAGGAGGGTGTTCCACATCCTCCATGCTGATGGACAGCCTTGGGGTCCATCCTGACTCAGCTGCAAATGGGAGCATCTACTGGGGAAGGTGACCAATGGCAAAGAATTTAAAAACCAAAATATAAGAGGAATGATGGGAGGAAGTGGAGATGTTTAACTTGCCTAAGAGCAGACCTATGGGAGGCCTTGATCACAGTCCTTCAGTAACTGAAGGGCTTTCCCCTGAAGGAAACAGATTCTTCTGTCAGCTCCGAGGGACAGAATTAAGATGGAGATGAAGAAGAAATTGGCTTAATATAAGGAAAAAGAATAATATTGCTACTACTTATTAGGGACCACTGTGTGAGACATGAACAGACATTATTTTGCTTTATCTTTCCAACAATCCTACAAGTTAGGCATTGTGAGCCTCGTTTTACATATGAGGAAACTGAGACTCAAATGAGTTAAGTAATTTTCCCAAGCTCACCCAGTCAAGGAAAAGCCAGAGTGGGGCGAGTGAATTCTCCACCTTTCACTACACCCAAGCCAAGACTGAGTAATTTACAATAGCCAAGACATGGAAGCAACCTGAGTGTCCATCAACAGGTGACTGGATAAGGAAAATGGGATACACACACACACACACACACACACACACACACACACACACACACACAATGGAATACTACTCAGTCAGAAAAAAGAATAAAGTACTGCCGTTTGCAGCAACATGGATGGACCTGGAGATCGTCATTCTAAGTGAAGTGAGCCAAAAAGAGAAAGGAAAATACCATATGCTATCACTTATATGTGGAATCTAAAAGAAATCACACAAATAAACTTATTTACAAAACAGAGACAGACTTACAGACATAGAAAACAAACTCATGGTTATCAGAGAGGAAAGGGCTGAGGGGAAGGAATCAACTGGGATTTTGGGATTTGCAGATACTAACTGCCACATATAAAATAAACAACAAGGTCCTACTGTATGGCACAGGGAACTATATTCAATACCTTGCAATAGCCTATAATGGAAAAGAATATGAAAAGGAATATGTGTGTGTGTATATACATATACATACATTTATAGCTGAATCATTAGAAATGCTGTATAGAAATTAACATGACATTGTAAATTGACTATAATTTCAATGAAAAAAAAATAAGCCCATTCTCTTTCTACCACAGTGTGACATCATAGCAGCCTAGGCAACGTGATCATATTTTAATAGCTGACAAAGGCTGGCTGTCCCAGGAAGGGCTGCTCAGGAGGTTCTTGTCCTTGAGGGGGTGTTGGTTTTAGACTAAGAGACTGTAAAGTTTCTCCCTTCCATGAAAGTTCATTATTTGATTCCTTCTTGTCTACCTTGAAAATATCTGAACGACCCAGGTTACAGTAGCTCACATTGCAAAAACTGACTTATCTACACAACCATATAACCATCTAGTTCTTACTGTTTCATTGACTATCCAAGCTATCATGAGAAACTGCCAAAAACCTTGTGGGTGTCAAAATCTATTAATTCAAGGGCAGTGTGGAGACATCATGGGAGTTAGAGTCAGGTTAACTTGACTTCAAATTCTTTCTGTTGTGTGACCAGAAAAAGCTACCTAACTCCCCGCTGGACTGTTTCTTCTCATCGGCAAATTGTGATAATACAAACTGCTGTCTCCCCGCAACCGCTACCCACCGCGGCAACACACACATCCGCACGTTAATCGACTTTCTCTTTCCCACTTCTGTGCCCCTTGTCTTGTCTTTACCTGGTTTCACCAAGGTTTCCCATACCACAGTCCCATCTTTCTTGTTTCTCATCTGCAGCCTGATCCCCGACCTCAAATGGCCAACATAGAACTCAGAGAACAGCTGGGCTTCTCTGGGACTCCGATAGCAGAGCTCCAGCTCCTGCAGAGAGAAAGAATCACTGTGGGAGAAGCCACCATTCGTCCTGCAGGTGAAGTTTTCCCTTGCCGACAGCTTCTTGGCCCTGCTCAACCCCACTCTGATGATTTCCTGGACTGAAATCAACTTCAGCCTTCAGACACTGCTCTTTTCCTCATTTCCCACAAACCCTGACTCAGAAGGATAAGCACAGGTGGATGCCCCATGAATGAGTCAGGATTCATCCTTGAATGGAGTGTTCACACATCCCAAACCATATCCTCTTCCTCCATCTCCTCCTTCCCTGCTGAACGAGTCCCTGCTATTTAAGCAGTTGCGGCTTTATCCTCGTCGGGTCTGCTCTGACTAAAGACGTGCTGAGGTTCCCAGTCATAGAATTGCCCCTGCCTTCCGACAACACCCAATGTAGAGCAAATCTCCATTTCCTTAGACCTTTCCCCCAAATTACCCAACCAAGGCAGGGTAGATGCTATAATAGGTTCTTCCTGACACCTTTGTGCTGAGAGGCCCCGTGGTTCCCCGTGGTGTGTGGTCTCCCACTGCCATGAGTCCTAAACCCCGTGTGTTCAGCTCCATGTATGTTCATTGTGGGTTTTTTTTTTAATTTAATTTTTTGGGGGTGATTAGGTTAGTTAGTTAGTTAATTAATTAATTAAGTTTTGATGGAGGCAATGGAGCTTGAACCCAGGACCTCATGCACGCTAGGCACGCACTCTGCCACTGAGCTACACCCTCCCTTTCATGGTGCTTTTGATTGGAGGGCTGGACACCCTATAGCGCCGCCAAGTCAAATCCCACTGTTGTCCTCATCCTGAATGTGACCCTCCCCCCAGCTTCCTTTTTCTCCCAATCTTTGAAGCATTCTGCACACCCTAAATCCCACTCCCTGTCTGCACCCAACCCCAGTTCAGCCCGCCCCGGGAAAGATCTGAGAGCTGCCCGCAGCTATCCATCCGCAAGCATGACCTCGGGCCCCGGGGAGGGCGGAACATCCGGGCCGCTCACCTCAGGCATTATTTCCATCCTCTCTGAACCAGACACAATGTAGCGGGAGCCCATGTAGAGCGGGGTCAGCGGGGGCGGCTTGTGTATCCGCACGAACTGGAACTTCTGTTCTTCATCATCTATGGCCTGAGGAGAGTACCGAACAACCATCAAGGGAGGAGGCGTGCCTGGCTCAGAGATACCTCCCTTGGAATGTGGTCTGAACAAAATGAGATTGTGCTTCTATGCGTCGGGGGTGGGGTGGGGTGGGGTGGGGCTACACCGCCCCTGCTGGCCCCTCAACCCCCTTGCACTGCTACACAGAGCGCCCCACGCTTGGCCTCTGCTATATTCTGGGTGGGAATTGGGGCACTGTTGGAGAGGACGGGGAAATGGTGGAAAGGAGACAGTTCTAAGCATGGAGACCTCCCATCCTTTTAACTCCTGGAAAGAGGCTTGTCCAGAGGTGAGTGATGGACCAGCAAAGCCAGCTGGAGGAGACCTTAGGGATCCAGACCCGCCCATGGCTGAGCAGGGGCAGGATAATTCACCCACTTCGAGGTCCCCACTTATAAGAGGCCCATCCTCATTCCCAGTTGACCCATCTCGGGGACCCTCTGGTTGCATTTCATATTTCCTGTAAGCCCAGCCTTTCTGGCTCTTAGCATCACCTTCTGAATGGAGCAGTCGCTGGGGATCAGGTAGAGGTGGAAGGTGACTTCTTCAGGATGGAGGTGATGGTACAGCAGCACGGTGGAGGTGATGGGAATGAAGCGCAGGGCGGTGTGGACCACTCTCAGCAGAACTCCCATGGGGGAGAAGCTGGGGTTTTCCAGGACTGCGTAACAGGGTGCCACCCTGGCTGGCTTCTCCAGGAGCATCCCCTCCGCTTTGAAGTGGGCCACTTGGAACAGAGGGATGTCCACGCAGTCCCCTGCCAAGCAGTGGATTTGAGAGGCAAGGACTTAGTGCCCTCAAGGAGTGAGGCTCGGCTAGGGGAGGGAGGTCCCGGGTGCAGGCTCAGTGGCCTTCCTGGGGGACCCAGCCAGGGAAGGCAGCGTGGCTGGGGCTGGGGCCTTTCGTGGCTGCGGGCAATCCTGTCTCTAGGGTGTGAACATTGCAGGAACGCCTGCAGCCAAACCCATACAGGAGCCCAGCCTCTGGTCCTGGAGCCAGGAAAGTTCCTGACCCCACGTTTACCCATGCTGGTGTGGTTCTCTTTCTCCAGGGACCCCTGACCCTACCTGCTTACAGTAGGAGTGTTTCTGTGTCAGGGTCTGGGGCCCACAGCCACACAGCCCTTTATTAAACAAAAGTGCTCAGTGAACTGTTGTTCCAGAGAAGCAACAATTTCGAAGCATGTGTGGTTCCTAGCCATCTAGGGCAAGTGCATTCCTGGGATGGGTAGCGGGGGAGAGGGAGTGTAAGCAGATGGGGGGGGTGTCCCTGGAGAAAGAGAACGAGGCATGGCTTTCTTGACATAAGAGAAGCCATTCTTGGCTTAAGCCGTTTTGTGATCTAAGCCTGGCCACAAAGCTTGTCTTTGAACAAGTCTCAGTAGTAATGATCTCAAGGGAGCAAAAGCACTGTTACCATGCCAGGGAAGTAACAATAGCAAAGGTAACAAATGAGTTGTACAGACTCTCAGTTCTGTTTCAGTGGTGAAGACTAGCCTGCAGCGCTTTCTTGAGCTGTTCTGCAGAATTTAAACCCCGCAGGCGCTGAAACCAAAGGGATGATGGTGGCGACCTTTTCTGACCCTGGGGAATTCAATCAACTAAAGCTCCTTCATGAATATGCATGAACCCTTAGCTTAAAGCTTCCCCAGTTTTGCTGTTTGGCGAGACACTGCTTTGAGAAAGATCCCCTGTGTTCTCCTTACCTGTTGCAAGTAATAAATTCTTTCTTCTCCCTGTCTTCGGCTGGGTTGTGTCTTTTGGCTCCACACCCACCAAGAGGCAAACCCAGTTTTCAGGTAATAGTGGGAGAAAACCCACCATGGGAAGTTACTTGACGTAGGACCTCCCCAGTGATGAAGAAGAAACAGCCAGCACCAGAGTCCTAAATCAGGCCCGCATTAGGCAGTGAGGTCACTGCGGCCAGGACAAGAAACAGCTGCAGTGCAGAGAGCAGGCGGCAGGCATTCCGGGAAGGGCCCTGGTTTCCTGGCGGGGCCTGGGCACCTGGAGCCACAAGCAGCCTTTGTGTATTTTGCCTCTAGCTCTGAATTCGGAATCCAAAGGGAACAAGTTCTGTCCAGCCGCAGTGTGAAGTCCAGGAAGTGGTCTAGAGAAGGCTGGTGGGATGTGGGCTTGGGCAGGCCTGGGGGGCGTGTGGGTTTGGCTCTCATCCTGGGGTTAATAGGACCTGGGTTAGGATTCCCAGCTCTGGTCAAGCATCTTCACATCTCTGAGCTTCAGTTTTCTCACTGGTGCATCAGGGGAAAACCATAGCAGCTGCCTCGCCAGGTCGTTGTGAAAATCGAGATGATGTGAATGTAAATGGAACTGCCTTGCCTGCTATCAGGCACAGACGGCTGATCATCGTTCACAGTTATCATTAGCCACGTCCCAGCAGCCCTCCGCCAGGGCCACCAGTTTGGTGAATTCACTCCTGTCCAGATTTGGTCTTCGGCCCAGCAGGCTTAGGCTGGACTCCTGCGCACTTGGAGGGGGACCTCTTCCTTGGGCCAGTCCCATTTCCCAGACTGACCAGGGCGTGGCTAGGATGTCCTCACAACACGGAGCGGGGCGCTGTTATTAGCGCCCCTTGTCACATGATGCACCAAGAAGTTAAGTAACTTGTTCAGGCTCTCCGAGTTGGGAAGCAAGTTCTTTCGCTGGGAGCCAAACTCTGGCAGCCCATACAGGTAGCCACTGTGCCAGACAGCTCTCTGTACTTCCACCTTACACGGAGGGGGTCCAGTGTCCCTCCCTGAGCGGGGAAAGTTGCTCTATGCTTCAGCAACTCACCTGAGCCTGGAAGGTGCTGATGACACACTCAGCAGGGAGGGCAGGGCCATGGGATCAGGCCACAGGGCCACCCCCCTCTCATTGTCTCTAAGGAAGCCAAGAGTTCCTCCCTCAGAACATCACCACCCAAAGCCCCTTTCAGGCCCATTCTTACCGCCATCACCTTGCCTCCACCCCTCCCTCTTGCTTACCTTGGAGGGCCACAAAGTGAGGGAGGTACAGAGCTGCCACGGCTCCTGGCTCAGCCTTGATGTCAAACAGAGGCCCCGCAACCATCCAGCCGTGTGGTGGGACAGTCCTGTTCAGGAACTGGTCCCAGGCACAGAATTCAATTTCAACGGTCACTGGCCCTCTCACCACGAAGCGGAGACCCGTGCTGGGCCAGTGGTAGAAGCCGGCCATGGGGAAGTGGACTCTGGGAAGAAGAGGGAGCAGTGGACACTGAATTACTCTACACAAACTCACTGAGCCCTTACTGGAGGCCAGAGCCTGTGCCGGGCACTGCGGATCCAGTAGAGTGCCTGTAGACCCAGATGCTGGAGTCAGATGGGTTTGAGTTTGGGCCCCGGCTCCTCTGCTCTCTGACTGTGGATCCGTGAACAAGTCCCTGAACCCCCGCCCCAATCCCCATCTCAGTTTCCCCACCGGTAACGTGGGATCATAACATCACCCATCACAGGGCCGTGAGGAGTCAGTGACCTAATGTGTGTGCGCAGCTTCATACGTGCTGGGGATGGCTAGCCATTTTTATAATGATGATACTGATGATGATGATACAATAGGAAAGTGTTCTTGTTTTTAAAGGGCCTATTTGCCAATAATTAATGGCATTTTGCATGATAACATTAATGATAAACCCCGGGAGCCGAAAACAACACTTCGCAGGGTTCTTAAGTGACTGTGCCAAGTTTCCCCAGCCGGTAAATCATGGGGTCGAGGATGCCAGCTTCTGTAGGTGTTCAGTTGGGGGTTATCTCCCAGCTGAGATAACGTCTGTGATGGTGAGTGGCAGTGCGTTATGTGGGGGATCATGACAGGGGTCACAGACAAGTATTACTCATGGCTGGAGACCCCAGGAAGGCAGGGCTGCCATATTTATCTCAGGGCCCCCAGTTACTGGTACGGTACTTCACACCTGGTGGATATTAATTAAACAGAAGTATACAGATGAAAGGAGATTTAGATGTTATTTAAGAGACATGACAAGCCACATACGAGTGGACTTCATTTGATTAGAACAAAGCATTTGCAGAGACACACTCAGACAATGGAGCACGTTTAAATAGGGGCGGGGTGTCAGATGACACGAAAGACCTACGGTAAACGTTGTTAGATGTGAACGTGGCACTGTGGTTATGGAAGAAAAGGTCTTTATTTGTACTTTTTAAAATGTCTCCCAAAATATTTGAGGATAAAATCACCTGACACCTGGGACTTAAAATACTGTAACAACAAAAGAGGGGGAAAGTGAATAGTTGAAACAAATTGGGCAAAATGGTGGTTGAATGTGGGTAATGGGTATATATGGAAGTTCCCTGGACTCTACTTTTGTGTATGTTTGAAAATTTTCATACCAAAACCTCTTTTTCCATAATAAAAGGACCGATCCAGTATCTCAGCCCTATCCCTGCCTGGTGGCTTGGAAAGGGGATGGGGAACCAGTGGGCCATGAGTGGGGTACAGACTGTGGGGACTCAGTGTGAGGCTGGTTGGGTGGGGGGCAGGCAGAGCCCCTCACTCACCGGTACAGGCTCCTCTCTTTGTCAACCATCTCGGTAGCCACAGGCCCTGTGGGGCCCCAGAAGTCATCTTCAGTCCCCAGAGACGCCGTGTGCAGGTCCCCAGGAGGGGCAGGAGCAGACACACAGAAGGGTCCCACCTGTGCTACTTGAGGGGAGCTTCCCTCTGGAACACACAGGGCAGGGCCAGCTTCAGTTCTCCCGTCTGGCCTCCCCCAGTCCCCTAAGGCTAGACCACGGACGGCCCTTCACCCCAGGGCTGGTCTGCTGGACTGCAGCAGCCCCCATCCCTCTGCTCCTGGGGCTGCCGGCCTGCTGTCTGAGGAGGCTCAACCCTGCTGCCCCCCGGCCCCAGCCCTCCTTCCTCCCCTCGCTCACATCCCAGAAGCGTTGCTCTTCCCAGTGTGCTGCGGGTGGGCAGCTTGTGAGATGAACACGCCTCAAAAGATGGGTGGGCAGGGATGGAGAGGTGATTCCCCCATCTCAGAAGCCCAGAGTGGGTCTTGGGAGTCTGGACTCCGGTTCAGATTCTGAGGCACACTGCACATATTTGGGAGAGGAGCACCCCAGCCCCCCAAGGCTGGGAGAGAGGGAAGCAGAAATCCTGCAAGGTTCTGGGGGTGGAAGATCTCGCGTGGAGCGGGCCTCTCCTAGGAGGGCATCCTGCCCTGTCCCACAGCAGCGACAGGGGGATGGAGGAAATGGCCTTTCACAGACGCCCTCTCCCAGCCGCGCATCATGACGCTCCCAGCCCGGCCCCTTCAAACTACCTGATTCTTGTCTCTGCCGCTTGAGTGAGGACGTGTTGTCACCCATCTCTCCGCCACCTGGGCCCTCATTAGGGATCAGCAGACTTGGCTTCCTAGACAGAGTGCATTCTCCCTGAGGTCTTGGAGGAAGCCAGGCTGTCTATGTGACATCCCCGCTTAAATTCAACTCCTCTGAGTTTGAACTCATGGTCCCCATCGGGCTTCTCCCATTGTCCCTGTTTCCACGAATGGCCTCCATCCACCCAGCCTTTTATGCCGGAACTGGGGTACCACCCTGACTTTTGAGAGTGGATTGATCACCTTGATCGGTCACCTTGACACCACCTCCAAAACAGCCCTCTTTTCTGTGCTCTTCTGTCCACCTCCACTGCCTCCACTCTAGTCCTGGGCCCTGGAACCATGGCATCATCCTAAAAGTTTCCCTGCTTTGGCTCCTGACCCTCCCCGGTCCATTTCCCTCACAGCAGCTGATCTGAAAGCATAAATCTAACACAGCATTTCTCCACTGAAGCCCTGAAATGTCTCTATTCCTTTTGGGGTGAAAGCAAAAGTTCTTAACATGGCCCCAAAGACCTGACCGTGCCCCTGTCTCCCGCCCCCAGTCCCACCTGTGCCACGATGCTCCCTGCTCACTCACCTCTAGACCAGGGGTCTAGACCTCTAAACTGGGCATTAAAAACCACCTGGAGGGCCGGTTAGAGCACGGACTCCTGGGCCCACCCCAGAGACTGATTCGGCAGGTGTGAGGTGGGGCGCCAGACTCCGCCTCGCTGACCAGCTCCCAGGTGGTGCTGACTCTGACACTGCTCATCTGCGGACGACATTTGAAGTGGCCTTGCTCCAGGTCCCTGGCCTCCTATTCCTCAAGGAAGCTAAGCTCAGAGCCTCTACTGAAACAGCAAGCAAAACACTGACCAGCTTACACTGGTTTTGCCTCCTTGAATAGATTGATTGATTAATCCTATGGAGACAGTACTGCACATGCGCAAGACGGGAACCTATGTCTCCAAGATGACACCGGAACCAAGGATCTTCAGTCTCCAGGACTCAAAGAATGGAAATGTTGCCACTGGAGCCCTTTACGGAACAAGAAGTCCTTCAGAAAGGAAAATCTGGCTTCCAGAAGCTCGGGGAGTTTATAGGGACTGATTTGAGACTAGCCAGTCAGCTTCCAAATTTGAAATTTCCTTAATCCCCAAACCCTGGATCAAGGAGGCAGATGTGAGAGCCTCCCCTGCTGTCTCCTTGCCAGTCGGCCTCAAAGTTTTTTCTTTTTTCAAAAGCTCGTGCGGAAGTACTGGCTTCTGTGCACATCAGGCCGCGAGCCCTTGCCCGGCAACACTGTCTCTGCCTGGACTGGACGCCTTCTCTGCCCAGATAACCCCTCCCATCGTTTAGAACTCAGCTCATCTCCTTTGGATAAAGTCTAAAGGCCCATCGAAGTACTCACAGGGGCCTAGGCAGAGTGGTGACTTGTGCCTGTCTCCCTGCTGCACTGAGCTCCTAGAAGTTGGGTCCTTGTTCGCTGCTGTGTGTCTGACACATCGTGGGGCCACAGGGAATGTTGTTTTGTGATGAACGGGTCCCCTTTTAAGCCTAGGAGCCCCCTCCTTTCCATTTCAGGTGAGGGGACCCGAGAAGAGATGCCCTTTGCAGTCACAGGCCAAAATGCACCAAACTGGGAGAACATGGGGGTGCAACAGACTTCCCCAGGAAGGAAGAGGGACACTCCTGTCTCTGGGGCTCACCCCTCAAGCCCCAGGGTGTGTGTGTATGTGTGTTGGGAAGTGGAGATTAGGGTGTGCTTGCTTCGCCAAGGTGCTCTCTCTTGGTCTTTGTCTCCCCCCGGTGGGTATTGCATTCCATGTTCCAAATCTCACCCACTCACGCCTTCACTTTTTCATTTGTTCATCTCATTCATCTAACGGAAGGGATTGAGCAGAGGAGTGGAATGATTCTATTTGCACTAAACAAACAAACAAACAAACAACAAAACCTCACTCTGGCTGCTGTGGTTTCTTGGTTTCTTCCCAGCTCTGCTGCCTCTGCCTCCACCCCATGTTTCTTTTCCCAGCTCTTGGCTCTGGGCCCTCTGAGCCTCAAGGACCCAGACACCGCCTGGGTCAGCAGGAGGGAGTCCTGGGTCTCCCCACCTTACCGTCTCCTGGAGATGAGCAGCTGAGGCTTCTCCTCCTTCAGGGCCCTCAGCATCTCTGTCACCTCCTCACTCAGCTGGGTCTGGTCCAGCCTGAAAGCACAAAGGAAGCCTGGTTCTCCCAGGACTCCCGCATGATCCCAAGGTCCTCAGGGCTCAGAATCAGGGAATCTGCCACCTCCCATTGGAAGCTGTCACAGGTTGGGTTCCCCGGGAATCAGGCTCTGAGACAGAAAGTAGGGTGAGGAGGTTTATCCAGGGGAGTTCTTGAGTCAACACCAGGCCAAGGGGAGGGAGCGACGCAGGATGGGGTAGAGGGAAAAACTGGGCTGGACATAGTCTCACTGCAGACCTCAGCTGCCTCCGGAGGGGGGACACTGAATTCAGCATGGCCCCTCAGAGCTGTCCCAAATTGGGATGACGGGCTGAGTCTTTATACCCCAACACCAGTCAGGCACTGGCTGCAGGCCACCCCAGGAAGGGGGCATGACCTTGGGTGAGGTGGCCCTGGTTGGCAGAGGCCATCCCAGGGGCATTCCCAGTGGCTCGGGATTAAATCTTCATTCCTGGAGGGCATGTGGGCAGCTCCGGGAGGAAGGAAGCAGTCCCTTCGCAGGATGTCAGAGAGCGGGCTGCTCTGAGACAAGATCTGACCAGCGACCAGTGAGCTGGATCCACGAATCCAGAATCCCTGCAAAGGCTGGGCTCCGGAGCGCACTTTCACCACGGAGCCGGGACCGAGGGCAGGACCAGCGCGGTGGGACATGGAGGGTCTGGCGCCTGTCAGCTCTCTGAGTGTGTGACAGAGCCCGGCCAGGAGCTGCAGAGGACTTGTTCTCAGGAGGTGGTGGAGAGAGGAAGTGGCTGAGAGGTGGCTGCGGAGTGGTGCTCCGAGAAGAACATCGCCCTCGGGGCCGGGAGGGTGGCAAGGAGGGCTAGGGGCTCACCGCTCGTCAGCCGCTCAGGTCTCCTGTGCTCCAAGCCCATGTCCGTCTGAGCACTGTGCTGGTTTTCACATGCATTTTATTTCATTACAGGACATGATAGTCCCTTTAGACAGATGAGGAAACTGAGTCCCAGGTGAAGACCCCACCCGAGTCACATGGCCTCCGTGAGTGGCAGAGCTGGTGATGAACCCAGGCTCTCTAGAAGCCCTGGTACCCTTTTCCTTGCCCCATCCAATCCCGTGGCACTCGCATCCCCTGCCTACCCTACCTCCTGCCCCCCTTCCCCGCCCTCTGCCCAGAAGGGACCGGCAGGGCCTTACCACAGGAGTGTGAGTCGGCAGGTAGGCTGCCTGAGCCCCTCACAGAGCAGCCTCACGCCGAGGTCGTCCAGGTCGTTCTGCTGCAAGTCCAGCTCTGTCAGGCTGGGGCTGGCACCGAGCATGGAGGCCAGGTCCTGGCAGCAGCCGGACGTGAGGCTGCAGCTGACCAGCCTGCAGGAGAGACACACGTGAGCCCCCAGCCATTGTCCCGAGGGCCCTCTCCTCGGGGTAACTAGGGTTTCCCTTTCTAGTACCTGTGTCCTTTCAGGGGTTCTGCGGTAATATTAAAGGAAGATAAAGACCTGTCTGGCTTGCGGTCGCCTGGGAGATTGAAATTTTCCTCCTGCAGCCAAGGGGCCATCAGGATGCAGGCAACCTCCCTTTTTCACGCCTGTGCGATTCCCTCGAATCCTGCCCACTCACCATAGCAACGTTGTGCGATTAATTTTCCCAAAGTTCTACTTGTATATCTAGGTGTCGTTGTTAACTACACTGGCCCTGCCAAATGCCCAGGGTTCCTGACAAAGGATGCTTTGGAGGGTTTCAACATTAAGGGCGTCTACAATACAGGATGAAAAAAGAGCGAGCTTCTAATATAAGAATAAAAGTTGAGGAGGGGTATGACAGCTTCAGCGGGACTCTGTCGTGGCCCCCGCTGAGCCCTCACCTTCTCCCTGCCCCACGGTGGCAGGGCAGCTCCCGCCGCATCCCCATGCCCACCCCCACAAAGTAGTGCCAACAAAGAGCAATCACAGCAGCCGCCGCAGCCCGCAGCCTGGCTGTCCCAGGCGCTGGCACAGGTGCGCAGCCCCAGCGTCCAGCAGCACGTTGAAGCTCAGTTCCAGCTCCGTCAGGGTCTGGCTGGCGCTCAGCCCAGAGGCAAGGTCCTTGCAGCCTTCAGCTGTGAGGCCGCAGTTGGCCAACCTATGGGAGACGCACACTGAGGGCCTTGGGTTTACTCACCTGTTGATTGAACAAACACCCACAAACACCCATCGAGCATCTACTCTGGGCCAGGCCTGTGGACCAGGTGGAGCTCAGTAAGGCCCCCAGGCCCCCAGAAACGCACGGGCACTGGGAGGGGCAGACATAGAAACAAGTAACAGTCAGTCAGTTTTTGGATCTCTTTTGATCAAAATCCTCTCATGTTTTCCCATGTCATCAGAGGTAAATTCAAGGTCCTCGTCCTTGTCTGTGGGACACCGGAGAGCTGGCTCCTTGTCTTCTCTGTCCTCATTTCCTATCTCTTCTAGCTGGATCTTCACTGGCCTCCTCGCTGTTCTTCAAACACTCCAGGCTCGGTCCCACCTCAGGGACTTTGCACCTGCTGTTTCTTCTGTCTGGAACAATCTTCTTACCTGATATCTCATGGCTTGTTCCATCACCTGCTTCAGGTCTTTGCTCAAAGGTCACCTTGGTGAAGTCTCGCCTCACCACCCTCCCTATGCACACCCAGCCTCAGCCCCCTACTCCTTTCTGCTTTATTTTTCTCTATAGTTCTTATCAAATGCAGTATAGTTTACTTATTCTTTGACTTTTTTTCTCCCCCTTCTTCAGAACGTAGGCTCCACGAGGAAGGAGTTTTGCCCATTTTCATGACTAGCTGCGTTTTTGTTTTCATTCATCTCAGAGTATTTTCGAATTTCCCTCGTGATGTCTTCTTTGCCCCACTGCTACTTAGGAGTATGTTTCTTATTTTCTGTGTATTTGTGAATTCCCCGAACTTCCTCCTGTTATTGATTTCTAACTTTATTCCACTATGGTCAGAGACTATAAACTGCAGGAGTTCAATCCTTTTCAATTTGTTGAGATTTGTTTTATGGGGCAATCTTATTTTTGCATAGAGCTTAATTTGGTACCTGTTTAACACTTCCACTTGGGTACCTCAAAGGAATTTTCTTTTCTTTTCTTTTTTAACTTTTTTTATTGATTTATAATCATTTTACAAAAAGGAATTTTCAATGAATATGCACAAAGTCACACTCATGACACCCCACGCCCCCAACCATTCTTTCTCCGGTACTTCCTACCTTAGGGAAGGTGCCACTATCCCATGAGTTCTTCCACCCAGAGACCTAGGATCACCCTTGCTAAATCTATCTCCCTTTCTCCATAGAGATCCAATCCATTACGGAGTTTGGTTGACTTCACTTTCCTAGATCTCTGGAATCCACTTATTTCTTTCCATCTCCAGGACCAACATTGGAGTCCAAACTATCATCATCTCTTGCAGAAACTATCATAATTTTCCTTAATTCAAGCTCTCACCACCTTTATGGGAACTACTGAAATTTTCCTACAAGTGGCTTCCCAACCTCTACTTTTACTCTGCTTCAATCCAGTTTTTCACACTGCAGTCTGTTTTTACTTTGAAATGTACTGATCTTGTCAATCTTCTGCTTAAAATCCCATTGTAGTAGGTCCCCCAGCCCTGCCACATTCCAACTTGGCCCATGACACCTTGCATGGTGCGAGTCCTGTTGATCTCTGTGGCCTCATCTCACCCCTTGACTCTCCACCCTCTAGCCACACTGCCCTGCTTTCAATTCCTTGACTTCCCATCCTCCTTCCTGCCACAGGGCCTTTGTACATGCTGTTCCTTCTGCCTCGAACTTTCTTCCCTCTTGCTTTACTTAGATAAATCTGCTGATTCTTCCGGTCTCCTTCAAGCATCATTTCCTAAAAGAAATTTCCCACTGGAGGCCCTTATTTGGCTCTGTATTTACACATTTGTTATATGGTTCCTTGATTCATGTCAGTTTTTTTTGCAAGCTCTGTGATGAAAGGATCCTGTCTGTCTTTGTTTACCATAATAGCCCTGGTACCGGGCACAATAGACGGCCAGAGAGGGGTTTGATGAATACTTGTTGAATACAAAGACCAATTCCCTCATCCCAGACTCAGCTTCCATCTTAGATCTTCCATCCATTTCTGTTTCAGAACAGAAGCCAGGCCAGACTCACCGCAGCGTCTCTAGGTGGCAGCTAGGGCATCTCAGGGCCTCACAAAGACCCTGCACTGCAGAGTGGCTCAAGAGGTTCCCGCTCAGGTCCAGCTCCTTCAGGCTTCCAGTGACCTGGAGAACGGAGAAGAGAACCTGCCAGCAGACATCTGTGACTGGGACCCAGCTCAGCCTGAGGGAGGGAGAGAGAGAGGGACAGGAGAGATATGACCTGTGTGTGTGGGGTCTGAGGTGCACAGCCCTGCACAGCGCAGCAGGGGTCTGCTCCTCTGGGTGCCAGGCCACAGTGGGCAATGCTGTCCCCAGGACTGACCAGCCTCCCTGACGGCCCCTCTGCCCCCCACCACCCTGGATTGGGTGCCCTCCTCTCTGTGGCTCCTCAATCTACAGCCCTTGCCAAACTACACCGAAGTGTTCATTTTGTGTGTCTGCTCCTGCCTCAGTTGGAGAGTTCCTGGAGGGCAGAGGTAGATATTTTCCATCTTTTTTTATTCTGCAGTGCTCAGCAAAGGGTCTGGCACAGAGGAGGAGCTTGGGGATCTGACAGCCTTCCTCCCTTCAAGGAAGACACACCTGTCTTCCTTTGGCACAGACATTCTGGAGTCCCAGGGCCCAGAAAGGGAAGGAGGAGATGGAGAGCGCTTTAAGGATGACTTTGTGATGGGATGTTTTATATCTCTCTCTCTCTCTCTCTCTCTCTATATATATATAGATATATATAGATACACTGCTGTCCAGGTTGGCTCGCCTGGGACCCTGCCCCCTTCCAAGAATAGCAAGAACCACAGAGGGGGTCTCCAAGAGAGAGATGGCAGAGAGGAATGTCCCAGGAGAGAACATTAGCAGCTTCAGTGGAGGCAGGGATGACGGGCCTCATCTGGGAGTGTTAGCGGAGACCGCCTTGTGGAATTCCCACCCATTTAAATTCTCCATTTTCACACCCTTCAGCAGCGAGCCCATCTACTTCCAGGATTTCGATGACTCAAACTCTATTCCAGACTCCAGACTGGCATCTCTATTTTCTTGCCAGATAGCTCCACCTTGACACCCCACTAGCACCTCGTCCTGATCCGTCCCAATATGTCCCCAGCTCAATTCCTCTTTCCCCCACATCTGCAGCGTTGGGCAGAGGCTCAGGGGCCAGCTGCCTGCGCACAAATTCTGCTTCTCTGGGCCTCATTCACCTGTGAAAAGAAGTCTAGAGTCCCTGCCACAGAGGGTTTTGTGAGGATTTCAAGACATTGGAGAGGATCCCTAAGGTTTCAGTGTAGTTTCCAGCTTTAACGGCTCCAGACATTTAAATGCTACAAAGGTACCTCAAAAAATCCATCAGCTGAAAGTTTAAGTGTTTGAATTTCTTTTACCTTGATTTACTTTTGGGAAATCTGAATACTACGTTTTTAAAAAATCTTTTTGTTTTGGTCAAAGCTTGTCAACTTTAATTTTTAATCAGAGAGACTAGAAGAAAACATTGAAAATGTATTATTCAAAATGCGCAGTGCTTAATTACAAGCCAAACACCTGGAAGCTTCCCACCCTTACTGTCTCAGGTTGGTCCTCCTCTCCCTTCCCACCACAGCCTTCAGCCAACCTTCATCACTTCTGGCTGGACTGTTTGGTTTGTTTACAATGGGCTCCTTGCCCTTCTCTCTCTGCCTCACCTGCCTGATTCAGTGCCTTTAAAATCTCCCTCCCCTCCCCACAGCAGCTGAAGCCTCTAAATTTCCCACTGGACTCTCTCCAGGGTCCATCTGCCACTGTCCACTGCAAACTCTCTTGCTCTGGCCTGGAGTCCCTGGTTCCTCTTGCTCCCCACCTGGCCTCTGCCTCTGTGTCTGCGCAGGACACTTCTGAAAGCTACTACCACTTGTCACACCTGTGCCTAGGTCCTTCATGGCCCAGTTCACGTTTATAACCACGAACAACCAGAACAACCCAAGTACTTGAGAACCGAGGGGTGGTCCTATCGCTCATGACGCCTTCCCTATGGAATTCCGCCTGTCCTTCAAATTGATGTTGTTTCAGGCTACTTCATAAGACGAGAAAATAGCCTCGTATTGTAATGAAGATCACTGTAAAATAAAATGTACCGTGTGGCTCAGTTTTTGCCATAAAAATGTGCATAGAAGAAAGACTAGAAGATACACCGCAGTTCTTAACGATGGTCACTTCTGAGTGGTGGCATTCTGGTCGATATTAATTTCCATCTTTTTGCTTATCTACATAACTTTATTTTTCTGCAATGAACATGGCTTTTACTGTGAGAAAAAAACTTTAAATGTCTGAAAATAAAAAAACCCCAACCCCGCCCCCACCCCCACCAAAACCCCACTTAAATCCAACATTTCTTCCTCCGACTCTTCTCTGGTCCACTCACGTGTGATTACTCCCTCCCTCCGGCCACCACCATGCCCTTTTCCCTCCTCTGTCACCGGAGGCATCACATTCTACTGTAATTACTGGATGGATGTCTGTCTGCTGCCCTAGATTTTGAGTTCTTTGAGGCCAGGGATTGTCTCTGTTAATCTGTGATCCGTAGGGCCTGGCATTAAATCAGTGCCTAATAAATATTCATGGCATAAACCATACAAGCACAAAATGATCAATACTGCAGCTGCGGTGGGGGAACCTGAATGGGGAAGCTAATGGTATTGCTGAGGCTGGAGGACGGTTAGAGGAAGCTACTCCATCACACTCAGATGGTGGGTTTCAGGCTAAGCCCCTGGGGCCATAGCGCATTATTGACACAAACAAGGAAGTCAGTTTTGCTGGGGGAAGATGGACACTACCATTCAGACACACACATTCAGAGGCGATAGAGGCAGTCTCAGGGCCAATGTCATTGTCAGCAGCCAACCAGGGAGAGCCTCCAGGGCCCAGGACAGTGCAAGCGACAGAGGAGCTGGAGAGAAGAGAGGGTGGGAGTACTCACAGCACCACTCCGGGGGGCCTCCACGCTTGTCCACGCTGCCCGCCCTCATTCAGCTGAAGCCTCTTCACGTGGCAGCAGAACTTAATGCAGAAAGTGAACACCAGGAGCTCCACGCCGGTTTGGACACACATCCTCGATCCTTGGAAGTGGGCCATCGCTCGCATCAGGAACTCCTCGTCCTGAATCTCGTACAGACAGTGAAGCAACTGCAGGGAGTCCGGCTGCAGGGAGGAGCGCTCCCGCCGAACTTCCGACTTGGCCCACGAGAGCAAGTCCCCCCTCCTCTCCGGAGGCAGCGTGCAGCTGAAGACGCTCTCCATCGCCCTCACCCCCGGCTCACTCAGGAGGCCAAACAGGAAACGCACGATCGGTGCCCCAAACAGGTCTCGTCTCCCATACACTTCTGGTAACTTTTCCACGCTGCCAGGGCTGTCAGGATATTCACCTTTCTCCTCCTTATCCCCCAGTGCACAGGACACTGCTGCAAAGAACTCCTGGAAACACAGGTGCATGAAGCTGTAGCTCAGGGAGGTGGGGTGCTTTTGAAGAACACGCATCTTTAAGAGAGTGGAGATGATGGCCCCATCTAACCCGTGCTTCCTGAGGTCTCCTGGACTGAACAGGGTCTTTCCTTGCCAAGTCCCCTCAGCGGCTAGAGAGCAGAGGCCCCGTAGCTGAGGTCCAAGGGGCTGATCCGGGAGAGCCTGGGAAAGGTAGCGCAGATAGAGGGCCGTGGTCGTCTGTGACGTCAGCGAGAGCTCTTCCCCCGACTCCATCTGCTGCTGCAGGCAAGTGCACACCAGCCAGGACACAGAGGGCACGAGGCACATGGTCGACAGGGCTTGGCTTGATGCAACCAAGCTAAAGGCTCTAACTGCTTGGCTTTCGTCTGTGAAATATTTGTAGAAATATTCCTTCCTAGAAGACTCAGAGAACCCCAGGACCTCCACCCAGCGTGGCTGCTTCAAAGATGGGATGAACTTCTGCAGAGCTGTGGTCCGAGCTGTGATCAGCAAGGATGCCTCGGGAAGTACGGTCTTCTCCAGCAAACTGCCCAGTAGCGTGTGCACTGGCTGCCGCTGGCTCCAGTGCAGACAGAGCTCAGCCCTCTGCTCCTCCAAGACCCAGTTCGGTTCATCTAAATCATTGAGGATGAAGAGCAGCTGCTCCGGCTCAGATAGGATCTGTCCGATGGGAGCCACGGGGCCCGCCCAGTCTTTTGTGAGGAGTTCAGCGAGACTCATCACCTTGGACTGGGCCAGCTCTCTGCAGCTGAAGTAGAAGACATGCTGGAAGTGGTCCCTGTACAGCTGGCCCTCCTCCCAGGCTCCTCTCACCTGCCTGGCCAGGGTTGACTTTCCGATTCCAGCATCCCCATACAGTATGACTGTGTGAGGCTTGTCTCGAGTGCCCGGGTCTGGGCCAAATAAGTCTCTGACCTCAATCAAACGTCCTCGCTCCTCTATCACCCCGTGATGCCAGCTTCCTCTGACCAGGGGCTCATGGCCCCTGGGGTGAGATCTGTGTAGAAGTAGCAACTGCATGAACTTTGGGTGCAAATCTTCATTTTTCCATGACTGTGTAGGGCAAGGCCTCTCTCTCCTTTGGTTCTGGTATCTCTCTCTGATTCCTAAGTACAGGAGGGAAAGAGAGAACATAAAGGTAGAGGATAGATTTGTTCCTTTGTTCTTTCCTTCCTCCCTCCCTCCCTCCCTCCCCCCTTCCCTCCTTCCCCTCCTTCCACAACTGTTTTAGGCAGCCGCATACTGTGCTGGCTGCCGATATGGGAACACTCTTGCCAGATCAGTGGAAAGAATGTGGGCTTTGGGGGAGGAGATCCTAGCTCAAGTCCTGATTTGACCAAATCATATCCTCTGTGTGACTTTCCTTCATTCTGCAAGTATTAATCAAGGGCATACTATATGCTCTAGGGTCTGGGGACAAAGAGTGAACAAAACAGACACAACTCTCTCCTCTCATTAAGCCCATGGATTGAGCTATTAGCCCAGCGAAGCCTCAGTTTTCTCTGCACGAGAACTGTGATATCCCCTTGTAGGAGGTCATGGAGGCGGGAAGGAGACAATGGATGGTGTAGCATCCAGGAACTGCTGGTTCCTGACAGTACCCACTCTGCAAGCGTCACTGAAGCACTTGCCAAGGTTGTCCTTCTACAAGCATCTGTGGTCGCCCATCTAAGGGCTCTCTCAGCCCACGAGTGGGGCAGGCCAGAGATGCTGAGGAATTAATGCTCCAGGAGGAGCCCTCAGCCAGTGACAGATGGCAGTGCCTTGTCCCCCAGGGAGGCAAGTCCAAGGTGTGTTCTGCCCTGTCTCTTAGAGATCCCTAGGGCATTGAACCTCAGTTGCACACAGGGGTAGCCTGCCCACAGTGCAGGTCACATTGCTTTCCCACCTTCCCCGTCTCCCTTCTCTCTCCTCCTGGTGCTTCCAAGGCATCACTTCCCCAGTAAACCACCCGCACTCAAATCCTGTCTCAGGGGGCTGATTCTGGGGGAACCCCCCTGAGACAGACAGGAGAGTACTTTGTGAACTCTGAGGAGCTGATCACAGATCAGGGATTGTCCCCTGGGTAGGGACCTCAGGCTCACATCTTAGATTCTAAATAGAATAATTGTCACAACCCCTTACTTTCTTCCCTTCCGAATATTTTGAGTGTCACTTACTTCTCTCCTTAGGTGAATTTTTGAGATGATGCAAGTGACTCATTTGGGATCCTGAAGCCCAGTTCATTCTGGGAAACTTGCTGGACCTCCAGAGTTCAAGGCTACCTGCTCTACCTTAGTGGGTGTACTGAGGACAGTCGGGGGGAGAGTGGGGCATGTGGGGTCAATTTACATTTTCAGCATTGGTGAGACTGGACTTACCAGAGGGCCATCCCCACCTCTGAAATCATGATCTATAGATCCACTTTTGTTGTCTCATGTGAGAACATTTCTGACAATGTTCAAATCTGCTAAGAGCATCAGGATGGTCACTCTGGATCATGGCTATGGTCCATCCTACTCAGGGTCCTGGGTCTGTGCAAGATGTCAAGAGAGAGCTTAGCTCCTCTTGGTGCCATGCTTCCCTAAACATCCTGATTTTAGTGGATTTGTTAGCATGCCACATATCTAAATCCTCTTGATTTAGTAAAACTTAAAAAAATCCTCCCTCTACCGTCAGTATCTCTAACAAGTTACATTTTAATACTATGCTTTTAGCCAGGGGTTTGGAAAACCGTCTAAATCCAGCTGGCCACCTTTTGTACACCCTGTAACCTAAGAATGGTTGTTACATTTTTAAATGGTTGAAAAAAAAATCAAAAGAAGAATGCTATTTTATGGCATGTGAAAATTACATAAATTCAAAATTTAGTGTCCATACATACAGTTTTATTGTAATACATCCATGCCTGTTTGTTTCTGTGCTGCATACAGCTGCTTTCAGGCTATGATGGAGAGCTGAGTATTTGAAACAGAGATTTTACAGTCCACAGAGCCATCAGATACTTACTATGTTGTCCATTAACACAAAAAATCTCGCCTATCTTTGCTTTTCACGGATCAAAATGTGTACCATGTGGTTTTTGCACGTGCTATTAAACTGTTGTTGGGATATCATTTTGTTCAAGTTTCCTACTTGGAGAATTCCTCTAGAATTTAGAATTGGGGTAGGGGTGTCAGTGACATGGTAGAATAGGAGATCCACTGGTCTTCGTCCCCCAACAAAACCCAACAATTAGACAGCTACCCACGAATGAAAACAGTCCTAAGCAGGCTCAAGAGTCCAATTAAAAACTTACAGCAACACAGTGGAGCAAAAATTCACAAATATGTGGAATATAAACACCATATGCCTGAAAATCAGTGAGTCAAAGAAGAAATCAAAAAGGAAATAAAAAAATGGATACAAACAAAAATGGAAACACAACATACCAGAACATATGGAATGCAGAAAAATCAATTCCAAGAGGAAACTTTATGGTGAGATATGCTTACATAAAGAAAAAAAAGGGTGATCTCAAATAAATAGACTTAACTTCACACCTCAAGGAGCAAGAAAAAAGAAGAACAAATTAAGTCCAAAGTTAACAGAGGAAGGGAATAACAAAGATCAGAGCAGAAACAGAGATTAGAAAAACAGTAGAAAGGCCAAAGAAACAGAGAGCTGGTTTTCTGAAAAGATAAACAAAACTAACAAACCTTTAGGTAGACTAAGAAAAAAGAGAAGACTCAAATAAATAAAATCAGAAAGAGGAGACATTACCACCCAAACTGCAGAAATACATAGATTCACAAGAGACTAATTTAAGAAATTATAGGCCAACAGATTGGATTACCTAGAAGAATGGATAAATTCCTAGAAGCGCACAATTTACTAAGACTGAATCAGGAAGAAATCGAAAAGTTGAATAGGTTCTATAACCATGACGATACTGAGTCAGTAAATAAAAATCTCCCAACGAGGGGGAGAAAGTCTCCAGCAAAGAAAATCCTAGGACCAGATGGCTTCGCTGTTTAATTCCATGAAACACCTAATGAAGAATTAATAACAACCCTTTTGAAAGCCTTCCAACAAGTAGATGAGGAAGGAATACTTCTAAAGTCACTTTTTCTGAGGCCAGCTTTAATCTGATACTAAGGCCAAACAAGGATACTACAGAAAAGAAAATTACAGGCCAATGTCCCTGATGAACATGGATGTAAAAATCCTCTACAAAATACTAGCAAACTAAACTTCACAGTACGTGAAAAGGATCATACACCGTGATCAAGTGGGATTCGTTCCCTGGGATGCAAGGATGGTTCAACACATACACATCAATAAATGTGATATCACGTTAATCGAATGCAAGAAAAAAATCACGACCATCTCGACAGATGCAAAAAATATGACAAAACATGGCAGAGTGAGTGGAATGTAGAGGTTAAATATGTGGATCATGGATTAGAGAGAGTGGAGGCTGAATTCCATCTCTGCCACTCCTAACTGAAATTTTAGCTTTTTGAGCCTCAGTTTTCTTATCTCCAAGGTGTCATATAACAGCATCCATCTCATGGAGTGGCTGTGAAATTTAAACAGACTGTGTAAGTGAAGAAGCCGGACACACAGTGTCCATGTGACTTGCTTTAGCCACTCAGGGGCTGAGGAGCTCAGTGGAAATCGCATCTTTCTCTTCTGACTCTAGACCAGTGCCCTGTCCACTAAACAAGGTTTCTTATACTGGACAATACACCAGCATTTTAATTTCCAGGGGCCTCCTGGAAACAGTGCCTTAGCCAGATAGAGAGACTTCAGCAGTAGGATTTCTGGAGATTGGTTTCAGATGTTTGCAAGACCCTCTCTGCTCAGTCTGCCAACCTGGCCCCCGTCCATGCCTTTGCCTCCCCCAGCCCTCTCCAGAAGCTCAGCAGGGCCTTACCTGTGCAGCTGTTTTCAGGTGTTTCAGGTGTTTCAGCCAATGGCCACACAGTCCCAGGAGTTTCCTGCTTTCTGGGCTCTGGGCTGGGCTGAACTGGGGGTTCCCAACCACTCAGCACTGCTGTCGATACGGGGGCATTGGGTAATTCCTTACTTGGTGACTCATAGTCTAGGGAGTTTAGAAGATCTTGATAAAGGAGCGAGGAAGGGTTTTCTAGGGGAAACGACAGGGAAGAAATTACCGCTTACTGAGCACCCATTTTATTTCTGCTCATAACATTTTAAACTGTCACAAAAATCCTGTGAGATGGGCGTTGGTAACCCAATTTTTAAAATCACAAAGATAGAGATACAATTTTATCCTCTTAGCAGATGTTCTGAAACTTCTCTCAGTGACACTTCTATTAGATAGGCATATTTTTGATAAGCCACTTGGTGGAGTTAAACTCCCCATTTCAAGTAACAACAAATAGTTACTAAGTGGCATTCTAAGGAGGTGAGTCCTCTATATTGCCAGGCACTGTTCTGCTAGGCAATGAAATTCAAGGCCCGCAAGTTGAGGGCAGAGTGAAATTGCTCTGTGTCATCAACAAGGGAAGAGCCAGTGAGACTGGATACTGCATGGGGGAAGGGCAAGAGAGAAGAAAGCTGGTGGGGGCACACGGGGGGAAATTTGAGGGCAGAGAGATGTGAACAGTCTAACCCTATCCTTCTATAATATCTTGTAGACTCTACATCATGCATTCAAAATTCTGTGCAAATGCATTTTTCTTTTTCTTTTCTTTTTTTTTACTGTGGAGTTCAAGGATGTACAAATTCTGTATCTTGGGGTAGGGGTGGTGGGTGGAGTGAACACTGAATAGTATGAAGAATTGGATGAGGAAATTGAGACACAGGGGGATTAAGTGAGTGTTCCACATCACAGAGCAAGTGGGTGAAGTCAGGGTAAAAACTGAGGGCAATGGAGCTGGTGACCATTACTGTCAGAGTTTGGGAGTGGAGGGGTGAGAGCGGGCACAGAGAGTGGGGGTGGAGGCCTACCCTGAGCAGCAGCAGGTGGAGGGAAAATTACTGCATCAGGAATGGGTGGTTCTGGGTTCCAGCTCTGGCTCTGTCTCTGAGCGCTGTGGGAGCTTGGACTTTGATGCTGGGATGAGAAGAGGAAGAGGCAGGGCTGTGGCTGAGGTTTGCAGCCTGGGTGACTCAGGATGGCGGAGGCCCAAATAAGAGAAGTCAGGAGAGGGAACTGGCTTAGGCTGAGAAATGAGCCTACCCTTCTCTTGGGGTTCATCTGGAGCACAGAGTCCTCCTTGGAACTTAAAAAAAATTTTTAAATTGAAGTATAATTGATTTACAATGTTGTGTTAGTTTCTAGTGTACAGTTTAGTGATTCAGTTATACATATATATATTCTTTTTCATATATATATTTATCTATCTATCTCCTTGGAACTTTCTAAACCACCCTGATCCCAAGGATCAGAGTCCACCTAGATTGTGAGCCGAGCTCTGCCTGCGCAAGGACCATGTCAAATACGGCACAGGGCTGGGTAAGGTTCAGTGTGGCCTGCTTGGGTCTCAGTTTCTCCGTCTGTCAAATTGGAGGGGGTACAATCTCAGTGATGGTATATTCCTGAAAGATCATTTCTAGGCCTACTGCGCCCACCACCCCATCCTGGCCCCTCCATCCCTCTGTAGTTCCCTCTACCTAGGTCCATGTGGAGCTACAGGCTTACCTGGATGGGACCCTGCCAGCTACCTCAAAGCCCTACCTGGGGTCCTCTGGCCAACCCAGCAAGCCTCACCTTTCCGGATGGACCCAGATGTGCCAGATGGTAGGTGTCTCAAATCCCTTTTCTCTGAGTTGTGGAGGGGCATTGGGGGCTCCGAGTTGCAGAACTTCAGCACCTCAGTGGAGGTGGGCCAGCTGGGGGACTGCAGGTTGGGTGCACTCGGGGAGTAGAGAAACGAGGGAGACTGGGCTGTGGGAAGGAGACAAGAGGTTGGAGGCTTGCCAGAGGGCCGGGGCAGGAGCCGGGGACTGTGGCCAGGGTTCTTCAACCAAGAGGATCCAAGGGAGGTCTCCTGTCTCAACCAAGAGAGATCAGGAGTGAACCACTGCAGCCTGCCCCAGCCTCCCCAGAGGCTTGTTAGAGAATGATCTCCTGACACTGGGGGCATACGTCCTGATCTGGGGTCCAGGAAATTTGCATCCTTGCCCTGGCTCTGTTTCCACCTCCCCAGGTAAGTCATGACTCCTCTCGGAGCCTCAGCTCTCCCCGTGGGGTTAAGAGTCTCCACCTCCTAGGGCTGCTGTTAGGACTAGCAACAGCAGGGTCAGCCGTGCTCCTATGTTTTGAGCGCTTACGAGGTGTTAGACTCTGTGCTAAATGTTTAACGTGGATTATCTCTCGAACCCTCACCCAGTCCAAGGAGGCTGACTCTTATGCTCCCATTTTACAGATGTAGAAACAGAGGCAGAGAGCAGTGAAGTGACCTGCCCAGTGTGGGAACGCTGGGACTGGAACCTGCTTCTGTCTGACTCCCAAGTCTGTGCTCCCGAGGCCAGGCAAGTCTCCACTTAGGAGCTGAGTGTGAAACTCCAAAACCTCCCTCCCAGTGCCCTTCTGAAAGTCAGCCTTCTCCCTCTCTCCTCCCAGGCCCTGTGAGGACTGCGTGGCATCCTGGGAATGCACTTGGCTAGGAGAGAGGTCCGGCAAGGCTCCCCTCCCCAAGCCAGCCTGGGGTCCAGCAAGGTGTGTCCCACTCCCACCCCCCTGGATTCTCCTTTGACAGAACAGTCCCAGGTCACTGCCCAGAGGAAGGTCTGGGGGCTCCCTGGTGGAGGTCCAGGAGATTGACAGCAGGCAGAGGGGGCTTTGCACTCACCTGACATCAAGGCTGCCTCTAGGCGGGCCTGGGCACACAGCCTGCTCAGACCCATCTGCTCCCAGGTGCGGAGTGCCAGGTCCCAAGCCTGCTGCTCCCCGTACTGAGCCACCAGGCGAGAGGCCACCTCCACACCACCCGCATTCTCTGGCTGAGTCAGGGCTTCTCCAGGAGGGTGCCCGCAGGGCTTCTGATCAGACAGCCGAAGCTGGAACTCCTTCAGCTCCTCCTTCTTCATTTCCTCCAAGTACCAGGCCAGTTGCCTCTGGGCTTCACTGGCCATTACTGCCGGCTGGGTGTGTGGGGGGGCCTTGGGGCTGTTCATGGGGGAGGGGGTGGATGTTGGGTGCTCACGGTGGTCAGGCAGGCAGGGGGTCTCCCTTGGCCCCTACTATCTCTCAATGCAGGGCTCCCACTGGGATCATTGCTCTTCACCTGGTGAACTCCTATTCAGCCTGTAGAACCCAGTTTTGTAAACCCCAGCGCATCTGCCCATAGGTGGTGTTGGGAGAAGGGAGGGGAAAGGGAGTGGTGGGAAAAGCCGGAGGAAGGAGGGGCCCAGAGGGGGCTGGGAAACACTGGAAGAGGTCAGGTTACCGGGGCTGCTGGGGTGGGGCCGGAGGCAGTCAGGGGAGTGAAGGGGAGGGATGGGAGGATGGGTGGGTGGGCGGGATGCGCGGGCACTCACTGTTCCGTGCTCCTCAGAGTCTTCCTTCACCTGGGATCCCGACTCCTGGGACCAAGCCTTGAGCTGTGATGTTGACAGGAGGTGAGGTGAGGGTGAGGCGGAGCAGAAGGTGGGCTTTCAGAGTCAAGGGTTGAGCTCAGAGCTGTCCACCCCCGGGCTCTCTTCTGAACCTGTCCTGGCCCTGGGACGCTGAGCAGGGAGAACAGCCCTCACCCAGCCAAAGCAGGAACAGAAGTCCCCGGGAGGCGCCACGTGGGGGCGGGGCCCGGGCGGGGGGGCGGGGCGGGGCCGGGCGCCTTCGGCAGTCTCCCAGCTTGCAGGGCCTCCCGGGCCCCGCCGCACATCCTGCCGCGCTATGGTGGGCCCCGGGCTGGGTGTTTCAGGCCCGGGGGGCTGTCTGCTTTGCGGGTGGCTCAGCCCTCAGCTGGTAGACGTCCCCGACTGAAAGCGAAACAGTTCCACTTCATCGCCGCAAAGCCAGGCCTCTGCGGAGTGAGCACGGCTTTCTTCCTCTTTCGTAGAGTCCGCCGAGGTCTGGGACTCCAGGTGCAGGAGCGACGTGACCGAACTCATTTCCTGTTGTGTGAGAATTTCTGGCGATGCAGTGACTTGACCTGGGCTGCAGGGGCCCAGGCTCTAGGAGCCTCAGCCCCCTGCTCGCCTGGACACTGCCTCCTCGTGCAGCTGGTTCATTTCTCTGAGCCTCAGTTGGCTCATCTATCAAATGGGACATCATAGGTTTGCAGCAAGGATCGAATTAAATAAAAGCTCTTAGTAATCTTCAAAAATCCTTTCTTCCTCCGTTCTTATTTTGCCTGTTAAAATCCTACTCATTTTCTGGTGGGAGAAGGGGGAAGGCAATTAGGTTTATTTTTTTAATGGAGGTACAGGGGATTGAACCCAGGACCTCACGCATGCTAAGCAGGCACCCTACCACTGACCTATCCACGCCTCCCAAATCCTACTCACATTTTATGGGCCAGTCTAAATGGCACCTCTCCTAGGAAGACTTTCCTGCTTTAATCTTCCGTCCCACGGCTCATTACGCATATCCCAGCATGCCTTGCAGCTCAGCCATCTGCCCCAGGAGGCCAGGTAGTGCAATACAGCACAGGGGTTTTAGATCTGCTGGGTCTGGCCTCCGAGGCTGACTCTGCCACTAGCTGTCTTTGACCTTGGGCAACGCCTGCCTCTCTATCTCGCCTGTAAAGTGAGGAGATGACAGCCAAGTCCCAATGCACTGGTGATGGTTAAATGGACAGATATGAACGTGCCTAGCACAGGACCCAGGACAGCAGAGGGTAGAGAACCCTGCAACCTTCTTCTCCTTAAGATCATGGGTTCCTTGAAGGCAGGTCACAAAGTCTTCTTTTTTTAAAAAATTTAATCTGCAGGAGCAGCTCAGTGCTTTGCATAGCATTGTTCAGAGAATAGATTTAATGAAGAAGTTATTTAAAAGATTACTGTAGGGGGGAGGGAATAACTCTGGTAGAGTGCGGGCTTAGCATGCGGGAGATCCTGGGGTTCAATCCCCAGTACCTTCATTAAAAATAAATAAATAAAATAAAACAAATAAACCTAATTATCTCCCCCCACAAAAACAAAACAAAACTGGAAAAAAAATTTGAGAAAGAGATTACTGTAGTTTTAATTTCACAAGTAATATATGAATACAGTTTCTTCGTGAAAACCTTAAGCAATACGGATATTGCTTCACAGAGGTTGCCACTGTTCCCAGTATGCTCTGTCCCTCCAGACAGGCAGGCACTGACAGAGACACACGTGTATCTCTATCAAACACGTAGCCTAGTTTTGTAACACAACCTATGTTTTATTCTACAAGACGTTTGGGTTTTTTTGTTATATATTACTTGATGCACACAAAAAGACCCTACTACGAATAGTCTTGCACGTGCCTTCTGGAAAGATGCGGATGCGTCCTGGGATGGAGGCCCAGAAGCAGACTCCGGGGGTTATGCACCTTTCGCATTTTAACACCATCACACCCCCCTTCTAAACGACAGTGACCACGCTCAGTCCAGCCGCTAAGGAAGCACTGCTCCCCGACACCCTCGCTGATACAGAGGGAGTATGATTTACCTATGCCAATCCCCCAAGCGGGGAAAGGAGCCTTCCTGTTGTTTCAGCCTGGATTTCCCTGATACGATGATGGAGGTAGAGCTGAATGCAGGGTTGGATGGCGGCTGGTGCCCTAGGTGCTCCTGTTCCAGACCCTCCTCTTTTCCAGCTGCACTCACTCCCCTTGTGGCCTCCTTGGGGCTCTTGACTTTATTTATTTATTTATTGTTCTCTTTTTAAATTTTTTTGGGGGGAGGTAATTAGGCTTATTTATTTATTTGTTTATTATTATTTTTTAATGGAGGTACTGGGGATTGAACCCAGGATCTCGTGCACACTAAGCACGCACTCTACCACTAAGCTATGCCCTCCCCCCAGGCTCCTGACTTTACACTCTCTCTGTGGGCCAGTGGCTCCCACATTTGTACCTTCGGCCTTGACCATTCCTCTGAATTCCAGGTCCTTTATCCAGCTGCTTCCTTAGCCTCTCTGCTCGCTCGGGTGTATCACAACTGTCTTCAACGAAGCACCTCAGGTTGGAGATCCCAATTTTACCACCTGCCTCTTCCCTCTGGCCTTCTTGCCTACTGGTTCTTCATGTCAGTAAATGACTGCTTGGGACAAAACACTGGCATCACCTTTGACCCCTCTGTTTCTCTCAAACATCGAATCTGTCATTGAGTCCTGCTGGTACTGTCTTTTAAATGTGTCTGGAGCTTAACTCTCCTCACGGTGCCCCCTGATACCACTGCGGTCCAGCCCATTGTCATCTCATACCCAGATCACAGCAGCAGCCTCCTAATGAACCCCTGACTCTGACGTTACCCCATCACCATCTGCTCTCAGTCAAACAGCCTGAATTCCCCATTTAAAACATAAAGCAAGTCAGGTTACTTCTCTGCTCAAAACCTTCCAGTACTTCCCAGTTCACTCTGAGTAAAAGCCAAAGTTCCCCCAGTGGCTCATGAGGCCCCAAATGATCTGGGTCGTGGTACCTCTCTGACTTTATTTCCTGCCTCTGTCCCCCACCTCCCCCCCCCAGCTCCACCCGCTTCTAGTCTCCTTTCTGTTCCTTGAACACACCAAGTACAGCCCCACCACAGGGCCTTTGCACTGGCTTTTCCATCCTCCTGGAATGATTTCCCCCAGAGAACCAGAAGGCTTCTTACTTCGCCTCCCATAAAGCAGCACCTCCCCACCCCTATCCTTTACCTTGCTTTGTTTTTCTGCACAGCACTTTTCACCACCTGACCTCACAGACTTGTTTATTTGCTTACTTTCTGTCCCCCTCACCTGCCAATAGAATGTTAGCCCCCTGAAGACAGGGACTCAGACTGCCATGTTGACTATCATGTCCCCTCTGCCTATGACAGCGCCTGGTCCACACTATCAGCACAATAAAAGTTGCACACATTGAATGTCTTTTAAACTATTTCCTCTTCATCTTTTTAAGCAGTTACTCACTCTGGCCATTAGGTGGCACCCAAATACTTTGTGTGCTTTGAAACAGCGTCCTAACACCCATGGCTGCTCTCCCGCTGAGGTCTGAATTTCTAAAGCTGTTTCTGCTTTGGGTCTTTGCTCTCTTTTTGATGTTCCAGGGCCCTTTAGAAGCACATTAAAACCCCCAAGCCCCACTTTTATTCAAATAATATTGATTTCTATTAAACATTAACATACGAGGGTCATCCTATGTCTCACACCCCACTAGGGTAAAGTGACACTTCTTTTTTACATTCAAATTATTATGACTTAACTCAAAACCAGATAACTTCTAGAAATTGACCTCCTTAAGGTTTCCCTCCTCCCAGCGAAGTCTGAGAGTGTTCCAGGTGTTGTCCCTGAAACAGATGGGGGCTGTGACGTTCGTCCTCAGTTTCCTCCCTGACCACCCATCTTACTATCTGGCATTACTTCCACGGCCTGAGATGCTGTCTCTACCCTCCTGAGATGCTGGTCCCCAGGGTCTTCTCTGATCCACCGATTCTGGGGCACTGCTCTTTTTCTGTCTGCTCCTGAAATGTGGGGCAGGCCCTCCCCAGTTCTCCCTGGCACAGCCAAGACCCAACTTGGAAGATAGGACTTTGAACAAGACTCTCCTGAAGGATCCGGAGGAAAGGAAACTAAACACAGCAGAGGGCCGCTTACAGTGCCTGCTGCCGGCATGGTTCCCAGAGCCCGCCGGCCAGGGCTGCCTGGTGCCCGTTTCCCAGGTGACAGCCTTTGTAGCTCTGGCTGGACTCCATCTGACACTGGCAGATCATTCCCCGCCCCAAGATTCTCCAGTTACCTCCACACTTTGGAGGCTGGATCTGTCTGGCTTCAGACACCCAAAAGAGAACGAAGTTCCCGCCATGTTCACCGGCCTCCCAACACAGGCCTCGGCATTAACCTCTTTCCAGGATGACTGATGCGGTAATACCTCTTGCCTTCAAGGGTGCGGCTGGTCCAACGAGGCCATCCCAGCAGTCTGACAGTTCATGCCCCCAAAGTCTGAGCATCACGGGCTTAGATAAAACTGCACAAAACGCCAATGGTTGAGATCATTTGTTCAAAAGTGTGACCTAGTCCATCCAGTTTCCTCCCCTCCCTCCTTCTCCTCTTTCCCTTGGTGTGAAGTGAAGAAAATATAAGGACTTGGTGCCCATCTTACCAAGATCTGCTTTTAATCTCCCGTGAACTTTGGCAACAATTCATATACCCCCTGTCATCATCTTCCAAGAACCAACAATACTCTATAGGTACAAAGTATTCTCATCACAGATTTAGATTTAGGAAAAAAACCACTTCTCTAAGGTAACTTGCAGGTGCAGTTATTCAAAAGACACAATCGACTTACGTCATTTACAATAGATCACATTCTCTCACTCTGGGTAACCTCATTTGACTCTCTTAACTGCATTTAAGTCTCAACCACTGAGCTATTACCCCCCACCCCGGAACTGAGGTTTTTAACGATCGTCCTGGGAGTGGGGAGAGGGGCCGATAGCGGTATCTGTTGAGTGGGATCTGCTTCATGCCGGGCACTTTGTGGCGCTGGCTCGGTTCATCTTCCAAGAAATTTTCTAAGACAGGGATCATTGTTCTTGTTTTACAGGTGAGACCAGAGAGACTCCAAAACCCATG